GGAGGGCCTTCTCTGTGGGAGCTCCCACCCTCTGGAACGAACTGCCCCCAGAGATCAGGGTGATCCCTGATCTCCCTTCCTTCCGCCGCGCCCTCAAGACGTGGTTGTTCCAGCAAGCGGGACTGGCCTAGGGGATTTTATAGGGGTTTTAATTACTTTTAATTGGACATATTCAAATATTTCGTTTTAATTAAATTTTAATTAAGCATAATATGTATATATGTTAGTATTTTATCTAATTTGTCAGCCGCCCTGAGTCCGAAAGGAGAAGGGCGGGATATAAATGCAATTAATAAATAAATAAATAAATAAATATGGAGTAATTGTGAATAGATTTTGATTATTTTGTGTTTATTTCCTAGATTAGCTTTGGGAAGTCCTGGGGGGGGAGGGGGGAAAAGGGTAGGTTTGTATTATAGATTTATATGTAGGATTTTTTTTAAGGAGGTGTCCGGTGATACCCCAACTGCATAGGACGGGATGGTTGAGTGTGGAAGGGAAGTAGGAAAGAGGGAGGAAGGAGGAGTGGTGGTAGAATGAGAGGAGGAAGGAGTGGTAAGTGGAAGAGGGTGGTGCGGGAGGGGTACACCGGACACGTCTGTGAATGTTTTGTTTAGCTTTATTTTCTTTGGTTGATATTGTGATAAAAGATTTATGTCTGTGTTTTTTAAATGGAAAAAAAAAAAAAAGAGAGATCAGTTACCTGCATGGTAATAAGAGTTTTAGTTTAAAAACATGGCTAACCTTTTTTTTTTTAAACTTTATAGAGTAATCAGATAAAGCAGATGGAAGATGTAAAGATATCCAAGAAGAGCAAAGTTGGAATTCTTCCTTTTGTTGCTGAATTTGAAGAGTTTGCAGCCTTGGCTGAATCTATATTCAGAAATGCCGAACGCAGAGGGGATCTAGATAAAGCTTACCTGAAACTTATTCGTGCAGTTTTTGCTAACGGTAAAATCTCTTTTCTGAAAGTCCATGATCTGCTATGTCATAAATAATCTCATTTTGTTGACGAATCGGGATCCAGTCTTATATTGCTGCATCTTATTATGTATTATTATACTACAAGTCACTTCTAAATCATTTTTGTCACTTCAGAGTATGTACCTGTCAATCATGTATTAATTGTTTTAGTATTCATCCCATTTCTTTATAATTCTGTTGCCAATTCCCAGATTCTGATTTAGAGGTACTTCTCTTATAGGGACAGTCAACAAGCAAATGTAAGACATAAACTAGCTGAATCTGGGGGGGGGTTTCAAGGAATTATGATTTGGGCATGCCCACTGAATTCTATGGCTGTGTGGAACTCTTAAGTTATAAATATGGTTTGCTTGATTTTGCCTTTGCATGCTGTTGAGACCAAATCCTTATTTATTGCTTAGTAAGTTAGTTGATTCTCACTAGTTATAGTTAAACAAAGCATGGGCTAGTGCAGGGGTAGGCAATCTTGGCTCTTTTATGACTCGTGGACTTCAACTCCCAGAATCCCTGAGCCACCCATGCTGAGGGGAAAGGGAGAGGTTTCCAAGCTGAGCCATGCTGGCTCGGGGATTCTGGGAGTTGAAGTCCACGAGTCATAAAAGAGCCAAGGTTGCCTATCCCTAGTGTGAAGAGACAGAAGAGTCTCTTCTGATTCAAATAATTTAATGATGATAACAATGGGAGAGATAACTGATTTTAAGTATACTGTAGTACATTAAAATCTCTATTCTACTACTAGAAATGATATTAAAGTTTTCATTTATTTATTTGTTAAATTTAGGAACACACCCAACTAATTCTCTTTTATAATGATACTTTCTTATTAGTTTTCTTTCACTGTTATCTTTTTTCCTTTTTATAACCACTAATTAAGACCTTTTTATTTGCTGTCTGCTATCCTTTACCGTTAACTCTTTATCTGCATTTCCAAATTTATCACAACAATCTTCTGACTTGGAAAATAAGTATAATTATCCCTGCTCTTTGATATTTCATGGTGTTAATAATAATAATAATAATAATAATAATAATAATAATAATAATAATAATAATAATAATAATAATAATAATAATAATAATAAAGTTGGAAGGGACCTTGGAGGTCATCGAGTCCAACCCCCTGCTCAGGCAGGAACCCTACACCATTTTGGACAAATGGCTGTCCAGTCTCTTCTTAAAAACTTCCAGTGTTGGAGCATTCACCGCTTCTGGAGGCAGGTTGTTCCACTGGTTAATTGTTCTCACTGTCAGGAAGTTTCTCCTTAGTTCTAGGTTGCTTCTCTCCTTGATTAGTCTCCATCCGTTGCTTCTTCTCCTACCTTCAGGCACTTTGGAAAATAGCTTATGTCTGCATGGTATGTCTTCCCTTTGTTTCTGTAGTTGAGAAAGTAGCAAATGAAAGCCAGAAGACTCCTCGGGATGTGGTTATGATGGAGAACTTCCACCATATCTTTGCAACCCTCTCTCGTTTGAAGATCTCCTGTCTAGAGGCTGAGAAAAAAGAAGCTAAACAACAGTACACAGATTACTTACAGTCATACGTGATCTACTCTTTGGGGCAGCCACTTGAGAAATTAAATGTAAGAAATGTGTTTTTTTTAATTTCTTTAATTCTGGGTTAAAACCAGAAATACATATTTTTATAGATATTTCCCTAAAACACAAATGAAGGTTTTCTCTCCTTCATTAAATACTCTATTTTCCAAATCATTCAAATAATGCGAAACTAATTTCTAAGACAGTGATGGCGAACCTTTTAGAGACCAAGTGCCCAAACCACAACCCAAAATCCACTTATGTATCGCAAAGTGCCAGGGCCGCATCAGATTGTGATGCCCTCAGGGGGGTGGGGGCGGGCGTGGCTGTGGTGGTCATGGCAGAGTGGTCATGGCCAGGGTGGGTGTGGCCACCTTGATGTTGCTCGTGGGGGGGATGCCTGTGGGGGCTGGGCAGGATTGGGGGAGATCCAGGGGGTCTCTGGTGGGCAGTGCATCCTGCGGGGTGAGGCAGGGGGTTGGGCGGGGGTGCCATTGCTGCGGGGCAAGGCGAGGCAGGGGCGGCTGCTGCCTGACACCACCAGCCCCCGCACACAGAGACCAGCGAGCGCATGAGGGCGTGCTCTACCACCTCTACTCGAGCTTGCTAGCCAACTGTTTCACCTCCTTTGTGCTGGGTGGGGTTGGCACTCCGGGCGCCAGCAGTGGCCTAATGGACCTGTGCGAGCTGGCGGCGGCGGCAGCAGGCGTGCCCACAGAGAGGGCTCTGAGTGCCGCCTCTGGCACCCGTGCCATAGGTTCGCCATCACTGTTCTAAGAGCAGGTTTCTGAGAGTGGGATGAAATGATAAAAGTATTCCTTCTTAATAGCTCTGGATTAATTGTTACATGAACACTGATAACAAATTGAACATTTTCAAAATCTCTAAACTGCACAGCTTTCCTCATACTTGATGATCTTCTGATGACCTTTCGTGTTTTGTATCATACCACACAAATGCACAGGCCACGGATTGTATTTTTAATCAGCACGGTGGCATATTAACTATATTTGTTTTTTTTAAATCTAATTTTAAATTAAGTTTCTATGTAATTTAAAAGCCAATCAAATGTACTTTCTGACGTATGGCTCCCACTCTCTACTCAAAGGTAAAATAAAGTCTATGCCACTCTAATGTTATGACAACGTGGCTTGCTTTTAGATACTGAAGACCAAGTCACAGTTCTGTGTTTGTTGAATGTAAGCATTCAGGAACAAATTTGCATCAGCTATGTGATCCTATGATATTGGCTCTGCTTGAGAATTAATATATTGCTTGCTTGACTGAAACTGCAGCAAATCTAGCTTTTTTATTAAAAAAAAGAAACAGAAACCAAACCTATATGGAATTGTGTGAGCGCTGTAACTCACATCTCAATTTACAGGAGTTTTTGCATCATCACACTGCCTATCTTTTAGGCTTCAGATTTTTTCATGGGAAAGTATGGCTGGGCATCTTTCAGCTTCCCCTTATAGAAACTGATTGGATCGTATTTAGGTATTTATTTATTTATATATGAATGAGAAGCTAATGCAAACAGTATAAATGTCAGCGAAACAGGAAATATAAAATGTATTTTATTACATGGAGTGGAATGGTGGGATTTTTGTTACTAGAGAATCTGTGGAAGCTCAGGATGGAGCAGTGAATTTTTGCTCCTAGTTCTGGACACTAGGGGTGACGCGGTAGCTCACTGGTTAAAACGCTGGGCTTGTTGGCTGTAAAGCCAGCAGCCTGGGTTCGAGACCCGAGCGCCACGTGACTGGGTGAGCTCCCGTCCTCGTCCCAGTTCCTACCAACCTAGCAGTTTGAAAGCGTGCAAATGCGAGTAGATAAATAGGTACCATGTTGGTGGGAAGGTAACAGTGCTTGGTGACGTCATGCTGGCCACATGACTGCGGAAATGTCTTCTGACAGCGCTGGCTCAAGGGCCTTGAAACAGAGATGAGGACCCACCTCCTAGCCCAGGGGTAGGCAACCTTGGGCTCTTTTATGACTCGTGGACTTCAACTCCCAGAATTCCTGAGCCAGCATGGCTCAGCTTGGAAACCTCTCCCTTTCCCCTCAGCATGGCTGGCTCAGGAATTCTGGGAGTTGAAGTCCACAAGTCACAAAAGAGCCAAGGTTGCCTACCCCTGCCCTAGAGTCAGCAATGACTAGTGGAGTAAAATCTGCAGGAGACTCCTCTGGACACTACAGATAGTCCTCAACTTAAGACCACAATTGAGCCCAAAACTTATGTTGCTAAATGAGAGATTTGTTAAGTGAACTTTGCCCCATTTTATGACTTTTTTTGCCACAATTGCTAAGGGAATCACTTCAGTTATTAAATTAGGAACACGGTTGTTAAGTGAACCCGGTTCCCCTATTGACTTTGCTTGTCAGAAGGTCGCAAAAGGTGATCGCGTGGCCTCGGGATACTGCGACCGTCCTAAATGTGAATCGGCTATCAGGCGTCCAAATGTAAATCACGTGGCCATGGAGATGATGCAACAGTCATAATGGTGATAAGTCACTTTTTTCAGTGCCGCTGTAACTTCGGTCACTAAGCAAACTGTTGTAAGTTGAGGACTACCTGCATCAGGTTGGAAGAGGCAGGTGAATGGTCACGCAACCGTTTTGGAAGCCTTGAGCCATGGAAGCTGTGTCAATGTGGAAGTGACCTAAATTCCATTTCATTGCAGCACTTCTTTGAGGGTGTGGAAGCCCGTGTGGCTCAAGGAGTGCGAGAAGAAGAAGTGAGCTACCAGTTGGCCTTCAGTAAACAAGAGCTAAGAAAGGTTATTAAGGAGTATCCCGGCAAAGAAGTCAAAAAAGGATTGGACAACCTTTATAAAAAGGTGGACAAACATCTGTGTGAAGAAGAGAACCTACTTCAGGTAATGTAAGAAGGCAGGCTAAAAGAGGGAATCTAATTTTAAAAGTTTTCTGGTTGCCACAATTTGTCTTTTGATGACCCATCACAAGAATAAAATTTGAACTATACTAGTTTGGATTGTAGTAGGTAGTGATAGGATTTGAATGAACGGTAGTAGAACACATCATTTCTAGCAAGCTGAGGAGAAAGACTCTTCTTCCTTATACATTAATAGTTTAGGCCAGTGGTGGCGAACCTATGGCACACGTGCCAGAGGTGGCACTCAGAGCCCTCTCTGTGGGCACACGCACCATCGCCCCAGCCCCGCCTCCACCTGCATCCCCCTCCTCAACAGCAGCCCCCGCAGAGGAGAGTCGCCCCCGAGTGCGGCCCGTGTGGAGCAGCGCAGCCAAGGACACGGCAGCCGGGCAGCGGGGACAAGTCTGTGCCCTCGCGCGCCATCGCGCACAGTTGATGCTGTGGGGCACGGGCAGAGGGCATGGCCACTATGACGCTGCTGGGCCGCTTGGGCGATCTGCGGCAGGCTGTGAAGGCGTTGAATGGCCGTGCGGGCAGGCGGGGAGTGGGGGCGGAGTGGGGCAGGTGGGACGGGGCAGAGTGGGACAGGTGGGGGCGGGTTTTGGGCACTCGGTCTCTAAAACAGTGGTTCTCAACCTATGAGTCGCGACCCCATTTCACGGGGGTCGCCAAGCAAGGCTGTCCGCCATTTTTTCCCCCCTTTTCCGGTGGGTGCCTTACCTCCCTTGAGCTGGGCCAGCTGGTGGTCGGCCTGCTCTGTCTCTGCCGCTTGCCAGCTACGCCTCGGCCGGCGCAGGGGGCGGAACTACGCATGTGCGGCGCTACCGGGCAGGGAAAGTCCTCGACTTACGACTGGTTGGGTAGTCCTCGACTTACGACTGGTTTAGTCCTCGACTTACGACCGGTTTAGTCCTCGACTTACGACCGGGTGGGGGTCGTGGCATTAAAAAGGTTGAGAACCACTGCTCTAAAAGGTTCGCCATCACTGGTTTAGGCTGAGATAAATGTTTGTTTGAAGGACTATGAAGTCATGTAAACCCCTACTGTCATTTAAGCCAAGCAGCTCAGACGTAGATTAGTATTTCAGTGGAAACTCATTTATGCCTCAAGCATTAGTGCGTAAAATTAAAAGTACGTTCCCTGGAAACTTCAGGCGTTTTAACACTGAAAGCATTTAATGTGACCTCACCTGTGGAGTTTTGGACTGGAGCTTTTCATTTGTTTATTAAAGCTTCCTTTTCCTCTTTTTGGTAGGTGGTGTGGCACTCCATGCAAGATGAATTCATACGGCAATACAAGCATTTTGAAGGCTTAATAGCACGTTGCTATCCCGGTTCTGGAATTACTATGGAATTTACTATTCAGGATATTTTAGATTACTTCTCCAGCATTGCACAGTCACACTGAAATTTTCCTGGCGCAAAGCAAGATAAGCTCACAAAGCTGCTGGTAAAAGCATTGTTGACATTGGAAGTTCTCATTTTGAGGAACGGCAGGATGTTCTTAATCATCTTCATACATATCAGCAGTTGACTTGGGCCAGCTTTCCTCAATGTAACGTTGTGTTATATAAAATTGGATTACAGCTGTGAAAATTCACAGCAGAGTTGTCCTAGACCAGGGGTAGGCAACCTCAGCTCTTTTATGACTTGTGGACTTCAACTCCCAGAATTCCTGAGGCAGCATGGCTCAGCTTGGAAACCTCTCCCTTTCCTCTCAGAATGGCTGGCTCAGGAATTCTGGGAGTTGAAGTCCACGAGTCATAAGAATTCTGAGAATTCTAGTCCATTCCATTGGAAAATTGGCCTAGAATGGAAGTACTGCCTAATTGCTGAAAAAAGGAGTGTTGAACTATACATTTTGACATGTAACTAGTATGTCAAATGTATATTTATTATACTAAGTTCATCTGCTTTCATAATCCTTTACTTTTAGAAATTAATAAGTAAGTATAGATATTATATCAACATCTGGTGGGTTTTTTTCCCTTGAAAGTGCATGTTAATATACACGTTTAATAAGATGTTTGAGTTTTTGAGAACCAATGTACTGGGTTATGTAAATACAATTCTTTTGATTCGAAGTATAAAAAAAGCTCTTTACAAAGAAAGTACTTATTTCCTGAGGGGAGATTATTAGCTGTGCCTCAGCATGGGATAAAAGAAAAAAAAATTGCTTTATTTCTCCAGAAGAAGCAGCCAGTGATTGTACTTGAAGTAATGTTCAGTGCATTGATTGAGGTTTCCTTAGCAACTCTGACATTTTTAGATTTAAGCATCATCATTGTAAATTTGCTCAGATGGCTGTATTTAGAAAGAAAAATGCAAGTTACTACTCTTCTGTAAAAAGAACTGTTCAGACTTAAAATGTCTTTTTAGGTTGTATCCTAGTATTGTAATCTTTAACTCACATGTGCACAGAATGCACTTTGGCCAATGTATTTATCTATCTCAGTTTCTTCCTCACTGCATTGTTTTCGCTCAAGCTACCTTATATATTTTCAGTCTATGAGGATTCCACGCGCTGTGGAAGTTATGTTTTCTCACAGATTGGTTTTATAATTATTACTGGTGGAAATGGTGTGGAAACTGGGCTACCTCTTTGCGGCACTTCTTTCTATTTAGTAGCAAGAAAAGAATTTGTAGAAATGATTGGCTTGTCCTTCTCACAAAGGTATTCTTTCACTATGTACTTTACAACGAGCATGTAAAAAAGCAACCTGAACTAGAATGCAATGGTAACAGTTGTCATGCTGTTTGCTCACACTACAAACACAAATGATAAAGTGTACCTTGCTTTCAAAGAGCCAATATGCCATGCCATTCCCCCCCCCCCCATGAGGAACTCAACAGATACCTTTCTAATGCTCAGGCCTAAGAACCATTAGTTTATATTACTTCTATTTTAGTTGTGTAGCTTCAATTTGTTGGTCCCCAGACCATTCTGTATCCAGGCAAATGTCAAATACTTGTACAGTCTCTCCTGATTCAAGTGAAAAGGAGAAAGTGTGTTGGGGAATGAAATATAAATAAATGTTACCATACCGATGATGCTGTATTTATTTGCCTGCGTTTACAAAATTGTTGATACATTTAGTATTCTAAACAGCACCTGTTTTCATGCCATTAAAATGTCATAAAAGGCAATTGCATTTGCCAAAAAAACCCCAACAACAATCCTTCAGTTTGCACAACACTGATGTAGAATGATGGGACTCTCATATTTATATTTAATATGTGTAATCTAATATTGATAATCAATAGAAACAAAGGAGCATCTTGAGAAATTTCATTGGTTTCCTTGATAGTTTAGTTTGGGAATCAAAAGAAGCAATAATGTGTCAGTCAGATTAACAAGACAACTTCTTACATAATTGGGAAGATCCTGAGTGCCCATCAAGAAATTTAGTGATATTTAATTGTCCAGAATCTTGGCACTTGCCGAACTTTAATGTGCCATCTTTGTCAAAGATGGTTTACATATTTTTAAATGAGATTAGCCTGCTGGAAAGGAGAGCACCAGCCTCAACCACTAATGATCCTCATTTTCAACATCTCATTTGAGTAGAAAGAGTCTGAATCAAATTCTAGATCAGGGGTCACCAACCCCCGGTCCGTGGATCAGTACCATGACTCGGCATGCCAGCAAACGGTCTGCACAAACAAGCAAAGACCCATCTGTGGGTTGCAGGCAGCACACAAAACCACGCACTCTCCGGTCCATGGAAAAACCTTTCTCCACGGAACTGGTCCCTGGTGCCCAAAAGGTTGGGGACCTCTGTTCTAGATGGCTTGTGTTCTGGATTCTGCAGAGGTACCCTGAAACATTCTTAGGAAATTAGAAAGAATCACAATTGGGTCTGCAGTATTGCAAGGATAGATAGTTGATTAAATAGGAATCTATAGACTGGCCATCACAACCAGTGGTGGGATTCAAATATGTGAACAACTGGTTCTCTGTGTGGATGCCGCTTCCGGAAGTCCATTCTGGGCCTGGGCAACAAAAAATTAGCTACCGGTTCTGCCGAGGTGGTGTGAACCAGCTGAATTCCATCACTGATCACAACCCTGTTGCCAAGAAAACTACCCTCAAATTTCTACCTGTACCTGAAGGGGCAAGAAGGCAGCACAAAAGGGAGACTGGATATTTTTATTTTTTTTTAATGTATTTATTTATTTTATTTTCATAGATTTATATGCCGCCCTTCTCCCTATAGGACTCAGGGCGGCTTACAGCATATTAAAACACTTAAAACATCATCCCCCCATAAAAACCTGTTAAAAACCAAATATTTTTTTTTTGCTGTATAATTAATTAAAATTAAATTAAGAATTGTCCCTGTTTAAAAATTCTCCCTAGGCCAG